AGAAACCTACTGATACCAATGACTCAAACATATCGAATTTCTAACTCTCGGGAGCAAAATTTACGCAAAGTTGTGTAAACTCTTTGGAATCTCACAAAACGCAGACAATGTCAGGCTTGATTCGAAAAAAAAAATCTCAAAGAAGGTGAAGAGTATTATATGATTTCTGATCGTATTTATCCTTTAAGAGTAAATAAATTGACAAAGTTTCACTTAGCTTACCATCACATGATACTGCACTAAGTTTGTCGACCCAGCCTGACAGATCGTTAAAGCTGCTCATTCGGAACACGTGCGTGCTATCCGGGTCAGAAGCAATCACATTCAGCTCTGTAGGATTGACGTTATTACCAACACCAATAGAAAAGATATTTACACCATGGTTACGGAGTTGATTGGCAGGCCCGCTCACACTACGCCCATTGGAATATCCATCAGTAAGTAAAACAGTCACTTTTGGGATGCCTTGATCTGGTCTCATTCCCTGTGAGGGAGGAGGCAAAAAGGAATATATGTTTATAGTATCAAAATACTTCAAATAGAGAGTTAGTAAGATAAAAGAAAATATCAACTGTGAGATATCTGTTGATATAACACTTCACTCTCAAAACTTAAATTTGACGAAATGTCTAGCACATCGTAACGAAAATAGGTTGATAGATCGTGTGTTGAGTCATGCGAGCTTAGTGGTGGAATATGACTATACGATTGTCATAACGTATCTAGTCGAACACGACCGCATCACCGACCAGGGAGGGGAGGGGGTAGGAGGGGAAAGGAGTTAAGTGTCTTGCCCACCTACACAACACAACGATCGGTGGGGTGGAGGGTGGGGGGAAGGGACCTATGTGTTTCGCAGAACAAAAGATCCATTTTAGGGCCATGGTCTTGACATAAGAAACTTCAAATCAAAGCTCCAATTTGAAGTCAGGTGGAATAAAAAAACAATCTCACAACAACTGAAAAAATGATAACGTTGCCAGCATCGAGCGAAAATATTCAGATGAAAGGAGCTCTTAAAATGATTGGAAAATATTGTTTTGTTTCCTTGTACATCCTACCCAAAAGCCTACGGCAAGCGACAGACAGTCTCCCCAGTATACTCACTTGTGACGTCGTGAAAATGTTGTGGCGTACATAATCCAAAGCGTCTGCAGTGTATGTCCATCCCCCTCGGTAATATATGTTCCCCACTGCATTCTTGATCGCCGACTTGGTGTGATGGGCTTTTAAATTGAATTCCAATTGTGGGTACGTAGAATATGTTACAACCGCCACGTGTGTCCCAGATGAACCGATGTTGAAGAAGTCCACCACATTTTTCACGAAGTCTTTTATTTTTCTGAAGTTGTGGCTTCCCACACTGCCTGAACAGTCCAGGATAAAGGCTAGATCCACGGATGTCTGGCAAACTGAGAAGTAGAATATCATTAGCACTAGTAATTTTCCTTGACAAAGGAGAGAATTGTAATTTGCGCGCACGATGTTCTAGACATTGTTGACGCAGCACTTCGCAGTGCACGCATATTAACTTCGCAATTGCCTAACGAAACTACGAGCAGTCCCTCCTTTCCTTTACAATTTTCCGCGCGAGTTAAAAGGAATCGGCGAAAAACACTGATTTCAGGAATGGGAGTAAGGAGCATGAAAAGTGAGGTGCGCTAAAATTAGTTATTTTTTTCTTTTTCGTTGACTGTTTTGGACTTGTGCGACGGTTTACGCAAAAAGGAGGGTCTGCTAGTAGTATATGATCGCTCGCCTCACTAATGATTTCCAGTTGCTCTATGTTAGAGCATCGGACCGCGAAATACGGAGATCTATGGTTTGATTTCTCATAGGATCTCACAATTATTCGTTGTCCTACGCTAGTGCGAAGACGAATAACATCATTCTTTAAGAAATAAACAGTGTACTCGAAGTAAATTGGCACAGAAACTTACGAACTGCATTTGTCGAGGATAACCATCTTGGATCAGTGAGCGGAATCTCCCTTTCTTTTCAAGATTTAGTTAGTAATTGCATGCAATGCTTGTTGTATTGGTTGTACGGCTGCGAATAAATTTATCCTGAAACAGCTTATTATTGCTTAGGAAAAAGTATACTTAGGGCTCACCATCTCGAATGACGCTTGCGTGGATGTAAGATTTGGTTGCATAATTCACCCAGTCAAATCCTGCCTGTACGGCCAGGCCTGCTAAAGTAGAGAGCTTTCCTGTGTCACCATCAGAGGTCTGGAGACGAACAGCACGTCCTGGAAGATCAATTACAGCTGATGTTATTTTTTACGTAACCGAGGAATTAAAAGGCAAATGAAAACCTCCTTTTACTAACACCGGTGGCGATAACTTTAAGTAGCGTGACAGTGTCTCGAACAATTCTCAGTAAATGTCACGCAATCAACAAATGAAAGTTAATTTAATTTAATTAAATTTACTTTACTCCATTTTCACTGCATTAATTTTTACAGTGGGGAAGGACTAGAAAGGAACATACGAACCATACGTGCTAGTCCACCCTCCCACCCATCCCACCCCAGGGGAGGACATCCATCGCACAGTAATCTCGTGTGTGGGAAATTAACGTCTCCTACCCCAACCCTGCAGGAGACGGGACCTCCATTTATTCGTCGCTAACCGAGAAGACTAGAATATCTAACCATTTCTTGATGTCACAGAAAGGTAGCAAATTATTTTAAGACCCTGAGTGTTGGTCTGGTCGGGGTTCGAACCCTCGACCTCCCGCACAACAGTCCAGCGCTCTATCCATTGAGCTAACCGGGAGGCGGTTCGCTCAATCAGAGATGAGAGTTGCGATTTGTGTTTGGAGAGGTGCCCTTTTTTAAAAAGGTCGCGAGAGAGAGGTATTGAAACTGATGACGAATTTTATTCAGGAAAATTATTAATAAAACCTGATATGCACAGTTTTGATAGGCAGAACGAGTTATTTGTATATTTGCTGATTGCTGTTGGCTAAAATCCAAAGCAGCCTGAGGAGACACAAACGTCAAAGAAAACTGCTGGGTGCAGACAAATGAGTCTTATCACGAACCTGTGGTCATCAATTAGTTGAAATCTGTGAGCTAGAATCTCGCACATCAAACAATTTCCGTTTTCGAGAGTATTGTCAGCTTCTTCACCTTCATCTCGATCGAAAGTCAATTTTAAAGTCGCGTAACTGAACGGTCGTAATCTGTGATCATCACTTGTCATCACCATTTCGTTTCCTTATTTTTTAAGCTTCATCTCCATGTTTTTCTACCTTACTGCGCTAATATAACGTTTTTTTTTTCAGTGGTGGTGAAGTAATATTGTTTGTCGCAGTAAAAAAGTTCTAAATAAAGCAGCGTATTTGAAGGAATTGGTCACGAATATGCAAAGCAGAAGTTACAAAAAATTTATCCAACTTTCGATCAAAGCTCAAGCTTAATTCCCTTAAGAAAAATTCGATCACATATCAGGATTATAAAGTTCTTCCAATTTATCCCTTTCATATTAATTCGTATACAAAAAATGTTGGAATTTGATCATCAAGACTTATAAAGGGGAAACATCAACTCTCTCAGATTTAACGCTACTTCTCTGTTTGGCAAACTGTAAGCAAAACCTATTGAAATCGAGTGAAAAGTAAACTCAAGTCAAGTTGCACAATCTACGTAAATTGTCCCACTTTCATCAAAATTGCAGCTAGGCACCTTTCATGGCCCGATGACCTTGTGAAGTCGTTGCACGGTGAAATAATTAAGTTGAAAAAAATTTAAACAGCGCCGTTGGAAATAAATGAAAGTAAAATTATGAATATATTTTAACAGAAAACGCATTTGTGAACGAATTTTATTTCATAAACATTACACGGAAATTAAGGTTCAGTTAATTTTTTCCTTAACCTAATTTTAAACAGATCGATTTTAATTTAGTTTAAAATACAGTTTTCAAGTTTAATGTCGTCATACCTTCATAATGAAGCGAGATTGGTGCCTGTGGCATAATTTGGTCCGTCCAAGCAAGAGTAACTTTCAATTTTACATTGCTCCATTGGCGTTTCACTGTAGATCCCAGCACATCCAGCTTGCTCTTCGCTCTTGCAGTCATTCGACGGCAGTCATCGTTTGCGAAATTGATCTCACTGTTTGTGTTCTTCACGATAATTTTTCTAAAGCGAGCTGAATTTCTTCTGATTATGTCGCGTATGTTTCCACATGTTTCTATTTCATCCTCGTCAGGGACTCTCTGCCCGAGACTAATCGATCGAAGTTGGCTGTGTACAAATTCTGCTCCGATACAAGCTATCAGCAGGAGTTTTAAAATCGTCGTTGCCATCTCTAGCAGCTCGGCCGAAGCAGCAAAAAACGGAATAGAGGTTATTCAATGATACGTTAAGCGCCAAAGTGCGATTGCAAAAACCAGTCCGAGGAAAATGTCCTTTGTTGAGTGTTTTTCTCTCTCTTGCTAAGCTGTTACGAAGGCTCTGCCCCCAAATCGAAATGTTATATAGCAGATGATGATTTTGAGGTCACTCGCCACTAAAGTGTCTGATTACAACAGACAGGTAGGACTCCTTTTTTGGACAAGAGCCCTTCCGCTTACCTTGCTTACGACAGAAGAAAATAAAAGCGTCCGTTCTCAGGCCCACCTCTTCTTAAAAAAAAAAAAAAAAACCACAACAAATGCAAGATTGCATAACAATAGGCAAAAATGAAATAAACAATCGTGATAGAGGGAAAAGAGGCCAGGGCTTACAAACAAGAGGGTTTTGCTGCTGAGACAGTTCCCATATATGGTTTTGAAAGTTGCTGTACGCGGGCAGCCATTTCCACAACTCGTGATCCCATGCGAACAGATCAGTACGCGAGTTGCGACACGATTTCAAACGCCCCTTTTCAACTCGAGTTCCGGTTGTCGAAACTTGAAGTGAAGAAAAACAAAGGATTAGAAGCCGAGGTCACAAATGACGATGCGAAACAATATCTCCCTCAGGGAGTACTCCCTGAAATTCCGGTATAAATCCATAGGCCGCTTCCGGAATATCATATAGATAAATTGAAAATGAAATATTTGAGACCTCGCCAAGAAGCAATACTCCATTTTAGATTAACGATATCATTCTAACAATATAATTGATTTTTTGATGATTTAAGAATAACGTTTGTTTATGTGAACATTACATAATAGGGCTAACTTACATTCCGCGATCTAACTGGAAAAATTTATGTAGATTCTGGAAACAGCACAAAGGAGTGAAACAATTCAATACCCAAAATGGAGTAAAAAAAATTATACCTCTGATCAAAAGTAGTTCCAAATCAAAGTTAATACAAAACATCTTCACCGCTCAGACCTATATATACATATTATATATATATATATGCGAATCAAAAAGGCCGAATAGGCGTTCCGTCTCGCAGACTTTATTCAGAAATTACAGTGGAAATAGTTTACCCTTGGAAAAAACGCGTTTAAAGGAAAAAAAAAAAAAAAACACTTACATTTGGTGCCGCACGCACCGATATATATCTTTCAAGATGGAGCCACCTCCGATCGCAGTAATATCGCCAATATGATCCTTTCACAAAAATATTTTCCACAGGGGAGGGGGTCGTGGGAACATGTCATCAACAAATGGTACGTGTGTTCATTTATGGGTATCGCTTCAGAGGTACCCGATTTAAACTGGACATGAAAACATTTCGTAATGAAGAAAATCATTTTTGAAACCCTGGAAAGCGAAAATTATTCTTTTTCAGTCGGAATACTGAAAACAAAAAAAACAAAAAAATTAAAATCGTTGACTAATGCTTCAGATAAAAAAATAAAAAAAAAACAAACAAACAAAACAAACAAAAGAAACTTAAGTTTGATATTCTTATCGATGATCGTCGAGTAACCACAGAGTACAGCCTATCAGGAACCCTGTCATTCCAGCACGTGGTCGCCATTTGAATCGTTTTTACAATTTCAAATTTAAGACTCTGTCTATACAGACAGGCGATGAAGAGGAAACTGATCATCACCTGTTTCACATTGTTTGCTTGGCAATTCTAAAATTTTAGCACTACCCACAAAAAAGAAAGTGTGACCATCAGATAGGAAAATTAGATTTCTGTTCTTGGGATTGCAATAGAACCGGTGAGAGAGCGGTTTTTGGGGGGAAAAGAAAATCGTTCTGCTCGATTTTTCCTTTTTTTTCGACTACAGTTTTCTAAGAATTGGATTTGAGATCTTGAGAATGAAAGAGGTTTTAAGCGAAAATTTCAAGTTTTTCAGCTCAATTTTTGCCTTTTTGAGTTGTGTTTTAGCTCCTCTAAGAAATTGTCTTTCGATTTACGAATTCGATAAGTTCCGCTTATTAAAAGTTGAATAACCCGCAGCCGTTCTGGAAATAGGCCCATGCACTGAGGAATTCATTTTCATGATTATGGCCATCTAGGCTACGCCCGTCTCCTGGAGTCTTCTCTTGGGAGGAATGAAGTCTGCTCACAAGACAGTAGCGGAAATCAAGCCCAGATGATAATAGCCATGGAAACTGAAAACGCCTACACTACCTTTGTTCATCTCCTGCTGTAAGAAACCCCATTTTCGCTCTCATTTAACGGAGAATGGTAGCATCCTGGAATAATAGCGGGTGTTTTTTCTTTCCGGCAATCGGCTTTTAATCAGATTTCTTGTCATTTTTTGAGATTGTTGTCGTGTTTCCCGAATAGACTTCGTTTCTTTGCTTCCTTAGTTATTTATTTGTTTATTTTCACAGACTTCCGTTATTTTTTAGGTTGTTTGTCCACCGTTACAAGACAACTCAATCTTTCCGTCAGTCCTTTTTCAAAGTCACATATCCATGGAAAAGCAAGACACCCGTCAAAAAGAGAGAACATTAAACTGCATTTAGTTCGGATAAAATTGCTCCCTCACCTCAGAATAAATCGAAACGATGTTTTAACCGAGGATTTTTATCTAATATTGATCCAGATCCGACAAGTTGCGCATTCGTTGCTTATCATAGCATGTTATAAACTAAACCAGGAGCCCTAAACTCGATAATCTGCCGGGTGTACTTCATAGAGGAATTTCTTCTTTTTGGTAATTTCCTCCACCTAGTTAACTTAACTCTCAATAAATTCCTCGCGGATTTGCTTATCAAAGACCTGTTAAATGAATTTTACTTTATTATAGCATCGAAAAATTTATAAAAATTTGACGTACGAAGCACAATACTTAAAACACTCCTGTAAGATAGTTTGATTGGAGACGCTTCCGGTTTATCAAAATGAAATACAATATCTTACTGTCTACGAAAATGATTTCAACCTAGCGTCAGCAAACGATAAAGATGAGTAATTACATAGCGGTCTGAAAAGAAACGAAACGAAGCACTAAAAAACACACAAAGAGTGGATCACCAAAT